CTCTTGGGGAAGATGATCGCTTGATCGAGCATCCCCTTGACGTAGCACATCAACCTTTTCACTGTCGACCAGTGATCTTCGCGTGGGTCCTCCATGAAACGGCTGACGTACCGAACCACGAACGCAATGTCCGGTCGGGTATGAGTGAGGTAGCGTAGCCCACCGCCGATACTCCGGTAGCGCATCGCGTCCACCTTTGCAGCAGTGCTGTGCTTGCTCAGCTTCAGTCGCTCCTCCATCGGAGTCGCGCACGGCTTGCACTCCGCCATGCCGCCGCGCTCCAGCAGCTTCTCCGCATAGGCGCGATGACCTAGGGAGATGCTCTGCTTCCCCTGCCTCACCTCGATGCCGAGGTAGTAGGAGAGCACGCTGAGATCGCTCATCTTGAAATGAGCCGCCATCTCACGCTTGAAACCGTCGATGTCCTCTGCTCGCGCTCCAGTGACGATTAAGTCATCCACGTACATGCCGACGAGGAGCTCCTCCTTCCCCCGTCGCCGCCTATAGAGCGCGTGCTCTGTAGCGCAGCGAGTGAACCCAAGCTCACCCAAGGTGGCGTCGAGCTTGGCGTTCCATGCCTGAGGGGCCTGCCGCAGCCCGTAGAGCGCCTTGCGCAGCTTGAGCACCATGTGCTTAGCGCCCTTGACGGCGAAGCCCGGAGCTTGCTTGATGAAGACCGTCTCCGTGAGCTCGCCGTTGAGGAACGCAGACTTGACGTCGAGGTGATGGACATGCCAATCCTTCGCTGCTGCCGTGGCCAACAGCAAGCGAACGGACTCCATTCGCGCCACCGGAGCAAAGACTTCCTCGAAGTCGATGCCCTCACGTTGCATGAAGCCGTGGGCGACGAGCTGAGCCTTGTACTTGATAATGGCGCCGCGCTCGTCCCGCTTCACCTTGTAGACCCACTTCAAGCCGATTGGCCTGCAGCCCACCAGTGGATCTACCAGCTCCCATGTGCCATTATCCTCGATGGCCTTCATCTCTTCCAACATCGCCCGTCGCCAATTGGCGTCGTGTTCAGCCACCACAAATGTCGGTGTCTCCTCGACACTAACAAGGAGTAGCTCTGGATCGTCGAGCAGCCGACTCACCAGACCTATGGCCCCTGCATTGCTGATGATGTTGTCCAGCCTATGGAACCGGACCTCCTCGCCATCGTGGAAGGCATCCACGAACTCGCTGATGTCGCTCGGAGGGGAGGTGAACTCGATCGGTGGTCCTCGGCTTCCCTGTTTTGCTGGAGTGGTCGACATCGCTGCTGGACCGCTCGACACCACTACCGGAGTGGTTGGATCCACTACTGGAGCGCTCAACACTGCTGCTGAAGTGCTTGGCACCCCCTTTGCAGTGCTCAGCACCCCTCCTAGAGTGCTCGGCACTGCCCAGGAGTGCTCGGCTCTGTTGCTGGAGTGGTCGGCACCTCCTCTCCAGCATCTCCACCACCGTGGATGACCATGTGCTCGACGAAGAAGGTGCTGGTAAAGCTGCCAGCTTCCCCCGTGTCCGGATTGTCCCAGTGCTAGGCCGCTTTCTCATCGAACACAACATCCCTAGAGATCACCACCTTGCCTCTCTTGGGATCATAAAGCCGATAGGCCTTGCTACCCTTCTTGTAGCCTAGGAGCACCATCAGCGTGCTCCTGTCTTCTAGCTTGCCGAGGTGAGGCTTGGTGTTCTTCACATGGCCGACGCAGCCAAATGTCCTGAGGAAGGACACATTCAGCTTGCGTCCTTACCGAGTCTCGAACGGCGTCTTGCCCTTCAGGGCCTTGGTGGGTGCGTGGTTGAGGATAAACACCGCCGTGGTCACCGCCTCTCCCCAGAACTCTGCCCGCATCTTTTTAGCCTTCATCATGGATTGAGCCATGCCGACCACCGTCTGGTTCCACCGCTCCACCAAGCCATTCTACTGTGGCAAGTACGGCGCGGTGTGGTGTCGCACCATGCCCTGATCCGCGTAGTACGCAGCGAATTCCACCAAAGTGAATTCACCACCGTGATCAGTCCGCAGCACGCGTAGCTTCTTGCCGCTCTTCGCCTCCGCGCGCGCCTTGAACTTCTTGACCGCTTTTGCTGCCTCGGTCTTGCTAGTCAGAAGCTATAGCCACATGTACCAGGTGCAGTCATCCACCAGCAAGATGAAGTACTTGCGCCTGTCGGGCGTCGCCGGCGTGATCGGCCCACAGAGGTCACCATAGACCAGCTCGAGGGTCTTTGTCGTGCGGTACTTCACCATCTTCGAGAACGACAACCTTCTTTGCTTCCTGGCCAGGCAGCTATCACACAGCTCACCTGCGTGCTCGATGTGAGGTAGCCCAGTCACCATCTTCTCCAGCCGACCAAGAGCATCGAAGCTGAGATGTCCATACCGAGCATGCCACAGCCACGGCTCTTCCATGCGCCGTGCAACCAAGCAGATGGGCTGCTCCACCTTGAGGTTGAGCAGGTACAACCGATTCCAGGACCTCTTCACCTTGGTAAGAAGCCGCTGCTCCTGGTCCCTGATCCTGAGGACGCCATCCTTGATCAGTACCTCGCTGCCGCGCTCATCCAGCTGGCCAATCCTGATGATGCTTGAACGCAGCTGCGGGATGTAATATACATCCATTAGTGCGCGGTATTGCTGTTCTGGCACCTGAAGATGATGATGTTGCGCCCTCGGATCGCCACCCTTGAGCCATCACCGAAACTTCACCGTGCCGGTCACGTTGTCGTCGAGCTCAGAGAAGGCTACCTTGGAGCCTATCATGTGGTTGCTGGCGCCAGAGTCCAGGTACCACCGCTGCTCCTGCTCGCCGCCCACATGTCCGAGGTGGACTTGGACGCGCAGTTCGTTGAGGTTGACAGCTTTCAGAGCCTTCCCAGGCCCTTCCACCGCCATCACCTCTCCCTTCTCCTTGGCCTCAATGTCGTGCAGTGCACAGAACGTCGCCATCAGGAGAGTGGCCTCATCATCATCATCAGCCTACGCTAGATGAGCCTCAGCCTTCTTCTTCTGCTTGCGATTTGGGCACTCCTTTGCCCAATGGCTCGTCTTCTCACAGCGCTGGCAGGTGTTGGGGTCGACCTTCTTCTTCTTCTTCTCCAAAGAAGCCTTGCCGCGGTGCTTGCCATCGCCACCGTGGCTGGAGGAGGCTTCCCCGGACTTCTTCTCCTTTATCCGGGCAGCCCACTCCTCCTCTGTTAGCAGCAGCTTGCGGCTGCCGTCGTTGCTGTGGCCTGCTCCATGCGCTCATCCACCGCCCACAGACGGCCTGTCACATCCTCAATGGTGAGGGTGGACAAGTCCAGCATCGTCTCTATGGAGAGAGCAATCTGAATGAACTTCGCCGGCACGAAGTGAAGGTACTTGGAGACCACCTCTTCTTCGTCGATGGTTACGCCGTGGCTCCTCAGCTTGCTGATGAGCGTCTGCAGGCGGAGGGAGAAGTCCTCCATCAATTCACCATCTTTGAACTTGAGGTTGGCGTACTCCTGCTTCAGCAGCTGGGCCGTCGCCTTCTTTGCGCGGTCGGAACCGACGCACATCACCGCAATGGCCTCCCACGCCTCCTTAGCAGAGCTCTTCGCCCCCAACGACTCCCTATACTTCGTTGGCACAGCAGCGAGGATGGCTTCCAACGCTGACATGTCGTCTTCTTCGTTGTCGGTGCCTTGTCAATGGCATTCCAGAGCCGTCGGGCTCTGAGCTTGACCTTCATGGTCACCGCCCATTCGCCATAGTTGGTGCGAGTCAGCATCGGCCAACTGGTGCCACTAACCTCCTGCACCGTGCGCACAATGACTTTCTGTCGTGGCTGGACAGCCACAGCAGCGCCGCTGCTATCGTCCATCTTCAAACCGTCCGTCATCGCCATTGGTTAGTCCAGTGATGGCGCTTGTACGGCTCTGATACCACTTGTTGATCCCTGGTTGCCCTGCACAGGTAAGCAACTAGCTTACTAGCACACACACACTCAATCACTATGGCTAGAGGTAGAAAAAGAGATTGAGAACAGCGCACACACATACTCAGCATAAGCACCAGCGTTGGCTGAACCCTTGCCCTTTGGTTTGTGGCAACTGAATTAAGTATTCCATTGCCCTTTGGATGGAATATATACAACTCTAGCTATACCTCTACCAGGTACATAGTTATTGGCCAACTACCTACTCCTGAGTATACGAGTACACCAACTACCTACTCCTAAGGTATAGGGTACACCAACTATCTACTCCCAAGGTACAGAGTATATCAACTACTCCTAGCAGTACAAAGCTTACCTCGGCCCACTACCAAGACATGGCTGATGTAATAGCTACCAACTAATGTACTAGAGATCGCCTATTACAATACTGCTACAGCTACAGGAACTGGTCGGCAGAGCTGATCAGTTTCCAACTCTCAACAAGGAGTGGTTGGCCGAGCTAACCAGTCTCTAACCAAAGAGAGAACGTGGAGCAGCAGATTATGTCTAACACCTACTACTCGTGGAAACACAACAAGTTAAACATACAAGATGTGATAAAATAGAAACTAAACCAAATGAAGAAACGAATGATCACTCAATCTCTACAGCAAGAACTTAAAACTAATCCATTGAACAAGATCATGAGATCTACAGTATATATTTAGAATGAAACGTAACTATAGCATAATTAAGGACGACAAGATACGGCAATCGAGCAATTCTGCACCCAGCAATCAACAAAGTACTTATTAAACTAACTAGTACAGAACAAATCCAAGTAAGGACAAGAAGAATAAACTAGAGTACAACCGATCTGTGTCTTGGGATACTCCAGCATGATCATGTGCACCCCAATGATGCATGGATCAGTACTCAATACAGTACAGTGATGTCGTCTACTGATCTTCAAATTAAAGAGGCAGAGAGAATATATATATAAAACCTCGAGTGAGCTGCTGCTTCCTGAAATCCTCACTGCAGACTCTGCTGGGAGGGAATGTGTGTGAAGACTGAAGAGAAGAGTGTAGCAGGAGCGTGGGGAGAGAGATGTCAGGAAAGGAGAAGAAAGCAGCCTTAGAAGAGAAACTCCAGCTTCTGCGCTCCGTCACAAAGTCAAATGCGGTAAATAATCATACTTTCCTTCCACTACAAACCCATTTCTGGATTCTATCATTTAGTTATTAAATTAAAGTAGAGGACAAAAAAATAGTAGGAATCTTTCAGTCTCTCCGTTGGTTGGAAGCTCGATGCGCGTGCTTGTTTTAAAGATTTCTTTAGTTTTCTACCCTTCAAAATCTGACGATAAACTTTTCAAAAAGAGTTCATATAAACTACTCAACATATATAGTCATCACGAAAATGATAAGACTTGTACTTCGTGCATATGTTGGTTGTGATTGTGAAACCCATTCGGCGGTGCACTTGACCGTTTCTGACACATGCCGAGACTACTGCATTGATCGAGCTAGTTAACTGATGATCCGCAAATTTTCCAAAAAAAAACTGATGATCCGTACCTACTGATTTTTATTTTTTCTGAAAAGAGAGAAAAAAATAGCACATCTATTGTTCATTTCTATATGAGCAATGAAATGCATGCAGGCAAACAAGACGTCAATCCTGGTAGACGCGTCGAAATACATCAAGGAGCTCAAGGACAAGGTTGAAGAAGAAGCAGCTGCAGCCTCATGGTCACAAGCTAACACTGACAGCAGTAGTGCTTTTGGTTCTGGAAGCGCCATGCCAGCAACGGTACGTAACGTAATCACATTGTTACAACATCACAACCCCTAGATGATGATTGCCATTATATTTGCAGAGGCAATTTTGCAAGCAACGCAACATGCCTACATGTATGGATGTATACATGATAAAACAATTGAACCTCTCGATGCATTGCATCATGCATGTCATGTTTGCACAGGTGACCGTCTCGTCAGTGGAGCTTGATAGCAACAGTTGCAGCAGCAGGAGAGGGTTCCGGATCAACGTGTCAACGGAGAGGAGCCGGCCTGGGTTGCTGGTGTCGGTTCTGGAGGCCTTGGAGGACCTCGGCCTCGACGTCCTGGACGCCGACGTCTCCTGCGCCGACGACACCGCCTTCCGCTTCCAAGCGCTTGGTGGATCAGGCCAGCAGGGCAAGCAGCAGCAGCACCAGGGGGGAAGCGTGGATGAACAAATGGTTCAGCAAGCGGTGTTGCAGGCCATCAGCAAATGCATGGACGATGACGATGAGTAATAAGACAGAACTGCAGAACCTGAAATTTGCCTGCTTTAATTTGGGCCTTCAAGCGCAAGCTTTATTGCCCAAACAATTCGTGAAGTTATTTTTTTTTGTTGCTTATGATTCCACAGTGAAACATTACTTCAGGTCTTGGTAACTTTGTAATAGTACTTCCTACCCGGGGACGAAGGGATAAGCAAACAACTGTGAATTAGAGCAGTATAAAGATACTGCAGAATTTAGAAAGAATAAGACAGTAGCTTCAAGTATTGGAACTTCTCCATCAGGCATCAGTAGCAGTGTTGTTGTGGTCACCTGTGTTTTGCAATGTGAAGGTGAAGGTATGAGTGCAAAGCAATACATGGATGAGAAATGTTTCCATCAGTAGCAGTCTTGGTAGGTTTCATGCATGCATGCATGCATCTGGTACAACAAACACAACGCAATTTAGGACATCCAAGGCTACTGCATCATGGATCGGAGTTAGTCCGTCAGAAGCATCCATAGATCAGATCATCTGGGATCAAACACAAAGAAAGTACAGTACACTTTTTTTTTCTTTCCCTTTTGGTGAGTGAGTACAGTACACAAACGATAAAACAGCAAGGCAAACCACACGACTGAGCCCGGAAGGAACCAGGAATAGCAGCAGCTAGCCTACTGTACACACCTGGTTTTACATCTGGTGAATCATGCATCAGAAATCGAAACTGCAACACAAGAAGGTTACCTTCATTATCAGAGCAAGTCCTTGAACGAATTTGTTACAACGACAAGGCCTGACTGACTGACTGAGTAAGGAATAGCAGCAGCAAGCGTACTAGCTGTACATATCTGGTGAATCATATTCATGCATCATAGTTCAGAAATCCAAATTGCAACACAAGAAGGTTACGTTCATTAGTTACCAGGGCCTTGATTAGATTGCAAATTTTTGCAACCTGGACACTGTAGCACGTTTCGTTTGTATTTGACAAACTTTGTCCGATCATAGACTAACTAGGCTCAAAAGATTTATCTCGTGATTTACAACCAAACTGTGTAATTAGTTATTTTTTTTACCTACATTTAATGCTCCATGCATGCGTTTAAAAATTGATGTGACGAAGAGAGAGTAAAAAACTTAGAATTTGGAGGTGATCTAAACAAGGCCCAGAGCCAAGTCCTTAAACGAATTTATTACAACAACAAACAAACGCGAGAGTGAAGACAAGAGAATAAAAGGGAGATTATTCCCCTATAAAAATAATGGCATGCATGACGATGGCCACACATACACTCTCCACTGGCGTCTGTACCGCACCCTTTCCATGATACACAAGCCTCAAGCAGTATCCCATACCAGCTAGGAAGGAGCCAACAGTCATCAGTCAACAGAATACATGGGAAGACAATACTACAATAGATCAGTAAAAGGGATGATTCTCTGATCGCACGAGTGAGAGTGACAATCATAGATCTGAGCATTCGTGAACTGGACTTCTCCAATAGCTATGTCACACCACTCCAACAAACGTAAAATCAACAGGTTTCGTAGCTCCCCAATGTCTTGCATGAGCATGGCTGCACAATCCCTCGAGAGACCGGTGTTAAATAGTGTGAGCTTCACCAGATTCTGGAGCCCTTTGATCCATTCCGGTAATCTGGCCATCCTGCAATGACACAGCTTGAGGCTCTGGAGGTTTTCCGGAGGTGGTTCCATGCCATTCAGACAGTTAGATAGATCTAGATCTGAGCACAGTGACAACGATTGAAGGAGGCTGAGCTTGGAAATTGCCAAACATAAATTCTGACTATTTTTCTTGTTGATGCCAACCACTCCTAGCTAAAGATGGCAACGGGCCCCGATACCCGATATCCGACGGGTATTTGATCCATTAGGGGACGGGGATGGGATCATATATTTACCCGCGGGCATCTAAATAGGCAAGAATCCATTCCCGACGGGTATAGCGGGTACGGGAACGTTCCCTGTTTACCCGTCCCCGTTACCTGTTGGGGAACCCAACTATTTGAGCTGTCATGCGAGTATTAGGTCCAAAGAAGCTTAATATAGTTATTTTGGTCCAAATCTGAACAATCATATATATAGTTTGTGTGTTCTAGGAACCCTAGTTTAATTTTTCCTCACCATCTTTGCCAGCAGCACCATCTTTTCATATTTTTCCCCACAAAATATTCTAAAGAATATCTTTTCGAAGCCAGTTTCAGTACGGTTGTGCTTATACAAAACATTATATCAAATGAATTAGATTGAATATATATGAGTCTTTTCATTACCGTTTTTATGAAGAGTTCACGAGCTTCCTCAGCTCCTAGAATGTTGAGCTCGTGTATACATCCCGGATTGTTGCAACAATGCTCAGCAATATCCTTTTGCCTTGTGGTGATCACTATGGTCCAGCTTTTTGCCTTTTTAATTTTACAGAATTCCTGTATTACTGTATCCCATTCTGGGGTATATAATAGGTCGTCGACAACAATCAAACACTTTCTATTCTCTGAAAGCCGGTCCAGTGCATCAGTCAAATCTTGTACAGACATCGATGCATAATTTTTGTTGTTGTCACGAACAAAATCCATCGCACCCTTGTTTCCAGATGACTCTGCATCTAGTTGGATAGCTATACTCCTAAGAAGCTCCTGAAGCTTGAAAGGGCGCAAGACGGTCACAAAGGCATGCTTTGTAAACTTGTCATTGATGTCTTTTCTTTGGTAAACATCTGCAACTAGAGTGGTCTTTCCAATACCACCCATTCCCCACACTGCGATCACCTCAAGATGATTGTCAGAATGTTCTAAAATTAGTTTGGCAATACATTCTTTTTCTCCATCTCGCCCAGCGACCTGAGACTTCTCCACAACCCCTGCTGTCATGTTTGTGTGTGTGTGGCTCTCTCCAACCGTCATCATTTTATCAGCATCCTCGGATTGGTCCTCTTGAATCTCAGAAGTGGACCGTGCTGACCTAGACACCGACTCTGCCGAATATGTTAAGTCTTGAGAACTCATCTGTAAAAAGGAAAAAAATATCTTCAGCGGTGTATCATATAAGAAATTAGATTATAGTATTACTCTATAAACATGATAACCTTGGAAAAACGTTGTAATCAAACAAATTTATTTTTCTTTGACCAATAAAATATTCAAAAAATAAATTTATTCGTAAATGCACACTACTACAGATCCGAACATCAGTGCCGGTTCAAAATCCCCATCACTGCAGGTCTCTGAACTGGCACAACCAAAGCGACAGTGATGTGGTTTCTAGAAAACCAAAAAACGGACACAAAAATAGGAATTTTTTAATACCATGAGAGATCCCACTTGACAGCCACACTGTCATGCGTTTTTTTTCATGTGAAAAATGCGCGCTTCATGGCTGCCGGCACTTGAACCCCCTACCTCTGGCTTTATGTGTTCGTACCTTAACCACTCCACCTGTAAGACGTTTGTGTCCATTTGGGATATTCACATCCTCCCTGTCGACACAGAATTTCGTCCCATACCGAGAACACACGCAGCAAGCCGGAAGGGTCTGCTCGATGGAGCAGATCCGCCTAGCTTCAGCGCAAGGGTGGTCGATCCTGCGCAATCCTCTCGAGATGTGCCAGTCAATTTGACCCTGCAATTGACAAGGACAGAAAGCTCATCAGTAATTAAGGGCGGAACGTGCCGGTGTTGCTAGACAGTCCCGAATGTGCGGCTCTGAGAGCCGATATGAGAGGAGATCGACTAAATAGTCGATTCCAGCATATTCATAAGAATAAATCGGTTAAAGCTTATGTGTTTGCGTAAGAAGAATCGGTTATCATCCAGGATAAATATAATTCGAGCAATAATTTAATCAATGGTAATAAGGTATCAATGATGATTGGTTTAAACTGAGCCAATGATTACAAGTAACCGAACCCCTTTTTATATAAAGAAACAATTCAACACCACTTAACCATTTAATAAAGATAAATCTAATGAACATGTTAGATCTCATCTATCGCCATGACCAGTGGGGCATGAGGCAGAATCATGCAGGCCGTAGAGACAACGATAGACTCGATGACCCTAACTCATTACTAATATCAGTGGGGCATGAGGCAGAATCATGCAGGCCGTAATACAATAACAAGATCACGGGGCTAACATATCTTTCAACTTATCTCTACTTCAATGGTCTCGTAATGTGATCTGTTCGTGAGAGCGCTTGATATCGGCTAAACAGCCGATTCAGGGATAGCGCATAGTTGAGGTCAAGCCTTCTCAGGGACGGATCTATCAATTAACGTCCCCACTCCACGGTGTTAACAGTAGGGTGAGAGGCAGAATTCCATAGGCCGTGATAACGGGTCATGGAACGGTTCTCGCTAACCAATATATCTACTCAAGATCGAACATGCCTTAACCGCACACTATGCACGATTAAGATTGATATAAAACAGCCGATAAAAACATAACTCATCGTTTAAGATGTAGATTAGATCAGTTTTAGATTAATAAACGATGGGTTAAATAAGATGTAAGGCCGATCCAGATCAATCTCAATCAGGCAGAGTGATATTGCTGTAATTAGATAGATAATGAAAGCAATAAGCAATATCGGTAACTTAATGAATCTACCCAAGACTGCCATTCAAAGGTAGAGCCGATAACTTGACCTTCATCTAGTTCAAGCAGTGGGGTGTGAGGCAGAATCACACAGGCCATACTTGAACTAGGCAAGAGTCGATAACTAGCCTATACCAGAGTCGCAGTGGGGGTCGACCGGATCGATGCAGCCATATGAACAGAGGTATAAACCATGACGGTACTTACAGACAAGCTGTGGAGGTCGACCGGATTGATGCAGTCGTACTGGCTGAAGAACTCGCCGAGATCTACTCTACTCCTACTCCTAAGGAGTGGCCGGTGCCGAAAAAGTAAATTGACTTGTATTTGATTGATTGTCTTTCTTTACAATAGCCGGGGCTTGATATTTATACCCGGGACTTGCGTACGACTCCTATCTAAGCACGACTCAT